TTTTGCCCCTTCTGTTTTGGCTTGCAAGAGGAAGATGAGAAATGCTATTTTGGGGAAAGATTCCCCACGGAAGGGAATCCTTTGACAGTTTTGGCTGAAAGCCGCCTCCAAAGGAAGAGGACTTAGGCTTGTTTTAAACCAGGGAGTGGTGATGAGCCCCAAGGCAAAGAGGATGTCCCTGAGAAGGGAGGTTCAATACCAGACGGGGTGGGAAGACTACATTACAAAACCTCTACAGAGATGCTTCATCAGAAATGGACGCATGGTAAGACACACCCCTTTTCCAGTTCTCTAAGGCAGACCAGTTACTGTTCCAAGGAAGTGATTATACAGTGGGTGCCAAAAAAATGTATACACATTTTAAGAACAGAAAACTATTAAAATCGTAATACACAATATATAGTGATAACAAAAGATGAATACAAGTCATGTTTGACTTATGCAATGACACGGGGTGCTCAAAGTGGGTACTATCAGTGTCCAGACACTTCTGATGACGGCGAACTACTGTTTGAGCAACGTTAACCGAAGTGTCCACTTGTATACATTTTTTTGGCACCCCCAGTATTTTACTCAGCACCACATTGTTCCCTTTAGCCTTCATCATCATCAACAACATCATAATCATCAGCATCAAAATAACAACAATAATAATATAGTGGTAGTGATAAATAAAATATAAATCCTACAAACTTGGGTTGTCTCTGACACTTTTCCCTTTATTTTCCAGAAAATAAGCCACTTAGGCATCTACAAAAGTGGGTTAATGATTAAAATGAAGGATAATGTCATCTTTAATTTTAAAATGCTTTAAAATCCTGTCGTGGTGCTGTACATAAAGAAAATACTTTTTTTCATTGTATTTCTGGGGTTGGTGTGGTTGTGTATGTATGCATGCTCATGTATTTAGCCTACATTTTCAAAACTGATGTTTTTAGTAGAGAGAATTGCTATTTGTTTGAATAAATATACTTGGAAAGATGAATGACAAGCCTGCTGTCCCATCCACGTGAAAGTATATTTGCAATTATGTGTTGCACTGCTGATTTGGTGTAGTTGGATGTAACATTCATGAAAGTTGGCTGAGGCAGTCAGAAAACTCAACCATTTGAGTATCCATTTCTGTTTGACTCCAAATCCTGGCAGTAGAAACAGTGGGTGAAATGGTGTCAGAGATCCCCATACACATTCCTCCAGAGACAGAGAGAGTGGAAGAACTGCCCCAAAGCAAAGTTTCTGTTCTTACACAGTCAATCAACAAACCTTAACTTAGTATCTACTATATGCCAGACACAGATTTGTTTTCTGTGCTCTTCCTTTATCAGAATCCACTCCTCTTTGCTAATGGCCTCATTTCCCACTCCCTTTCCACAACCCCAGCCGATACACAGGGTCTTTGTGCTACTGAGAAGGTTTCAGTCTTTCCCACATGAAAACTCAAGTCCTGTATCTCCTTCCTTGAATGCCCTGCTAGGGTGGAGTATTATTTGTAATAACTTTTATTTTCCCTTAAAGTAAATAAACCCCAAGATAGAAAAGTATCTTAGAGAAAATAGAAGAGATTATATCATGAACATTTTCTCATGTTACTGAATACTTGTCAACGTTTTAATGGCTGGGTATTATTCCATTGTATACCTCAATTTCTTAACATTCACCCAAATCTTGGTTCACAAGTTGGATTTATTTTCTTAAGTCATTGTTTATGAACATTTGTAAGATCATTAATACTTGCCAAACCACTTTCAGAGACTTTGTAGCAACTTACAGTCCCATTAAAAGTCTATTTACTGTTCATATCATAGCACCCTTATCATCATGGAAATCTAAAAACTTTAAATCTTCACTGATTCTTTAATTTGCATTTTTCTATTTACTAGTGAGATTGGACATTTTCACATGCTTATTAGACATTTTGAGTTTCTTTTCCCTAAGTTGTCTGTATATGTCCTTGGCCTGTGTTTCTATTGGAGTTTTTTTTTGGGGGGGGGATGGGAATTGGGGGAGGAAATAGTATTGGGGAATCAGGGAGGGGAACAGACAAGTTACTGTCCTTCGGTTCTTCAGTCTCGTTGTGGAGAACGTCGCTTCACTGGCCCATGTCGGTATTGGGATCATTGCGCTCTTCCTGGCTGAGGCAGATTGGTTGCCGGCCATAGAACGGCTGCTCACAGCAGCTCACGCTGGCTACCGACCATGCACAGTAGCTTACGGCAGCCCACTGCAGACCCACTGTAGCCTACGCCGTCACTGGCAACTCATGGCAGCCCAGCTCCAGGTTGAGCTGTTGTTCACCATCGTAGCTGTAGAGGGTGCAGCGTCACTGGCCCATGTGGGATCCAAACCAGCGGTCCTGCTGCTCAGAGCTCACGCTCCCAAGCCAACTCTTAACCAACGAGCCACACTGCCGACCCTGAATTTTTCTTAATTCACTTGTATGAACTTATTTTATATGAAAGATGTTAACATGTTGTCTTTAATATTTATTGGTCATATTTTGGCAAAAATCTCTCCAGCTACATTATTTGCAAACATATTATTACTTGGAGCAGATAACTTGTTTTATTCAATGAGATCAGCTTTGTATCATTTTATGTATGAAGTGGTTTTCAATGTTTAAAACTTAATACATTCTTTAGAGCAAAGAAAACATCTATTCCACTAACATCTATAAAGTAAAGGGAGAATGTATAAGAGTTAAATTGCAAGGGACCTTAGTCTTACCAATGCTGGTATAGCAATAGACTCGTTTGTATTCTTACTGTAGTTTATATATGGCCCCTCTAGTGTGCTTATTACAGAATAATGAGATCTGTGCCCAAACTAAGCACATGAGACAGGTAATGAGCTGCTTTGGAATTTCCTGGATTTCAGATCAAATCCTAGTCATCCCTCATTCCCTTACCTCAGTTCCCCATACCTCTAGAGGCCCTGAATAGCAGCCCTCATATGTTTTTCTTTTCCTTTTAGACAATTCTTCCTCACTCCAGGAAGATGAAGAGGTAGAAATGGAGGCCATCAGCTGGCAGGCCAGCAGTCCAGCCATGAACGGACACCCTGCCACTCCAGTGACCTCTGCCCGTTTCCCTAGCTGGGTCACTTTTGATGACAATGAAGTCAGCTGCCCTCTGCCACCCATCACCTCTCCCGTGAAGTCAAACACACCACCTATTGCACCTGCGATCCCAGATATACCTTATAACTCAACTGGGTCATTTAAGAAGAGGGAACGTCCCAAGAGCACTTTAGTGAACTTCTCCAAAGTTCAGAAGCTGGACGTTCCCTCCGTAAACCATCCGCCTTCCATAACTGAAGCTCCACCGTGGAGGGCAACCAATCCCTTCCTGAATGAGACCCTACAGGATGTACAACCCTCCCCTATCAACCCTTTCAGCGCTTTCTTCGAGGAGCAGGAGAGGCGCTCCCAAAACAACTCCGTTTCCAGTACCACAGGCAAAAGCCAAAGAGACTCTCTCATCGTCATCTACCAGGACGCCATCAGTTTTGATGACTCAAGCAGAAACCAGTCACACTCTGATGCTGTTGAAAAACTCAAACAACTCCACATTGATGACCCCGATCACTTAGGTAATGCGACACTAACTGATGATGACCCGGTCGCCTGGATTGAGCTGGATGACCACCCGCCCGGTTCAGCACCGTCCCAGCGCAGAGATGGGTGGCCAATGATGCTGAGGATCCCTGAGAAGAAAAACATCATGTCCTCCAGGCACTGGGGACCCATCTACATCAAACTGACGGACGGTGGTTACCTGCAGCTGTATTACGAACAGGGCCTAGAGAAGCCGTTCCGTGAGTTTAAGCTGGAGATCTGCCACGAGATTTCTGAACCCCGACTCCAAAACTATGATGAGAACGGCAGGATCCACAGCTTGCGAATAGACCGTGTCACCTACAAGGAGAAGAAGAAATACCAGCCCAAACCCGCGGTTGCCCACACAGCAGAGAGGGAGCAAGTGATTAAGCTGGGCACCACCGATTACGACGACTTCCGGAGCTTCATTCGTGCAGTTCAGGACCGGCTCATGGATCTGCCGGTGTTGTCGATGGACCTGAGCACGGTTGGCTTGAACTACCTTGAGGAGGAGATTACAGTGGATGTCAGAGATGAGTTCTCTGGCGTTGTGAGCAGAGGAGACAACCAGGTTCTCCAGCACCACGTCTTGACACGGATCCACATCCTGAGTTTCCTCTCTGGGCTTGCAGAGTGCCGCTTGGGCCTCAATGACATCCTCATCAAGGGGAACGAAATCGTTTCCCGGCAAGACATCATGCCGACCACCACCACCAAGTGGATCAAGCTCCATGAGTGCCGTTTTCATGGCTGTGTGGATGAGGATGTATTCAACAGCTCCCGGGTTATTCTGTTCAACCCTCTGGATGCATGCCGCTTTGAGCTAATGCGATTTAGGACAGTGTTTGCCGAGAAGACCTTGCCGTTCACACTCAGGACGGCAGCCAGCATCAATGGGGCAGAGGTGGAGGTGCAGAGCTGGCTCAGGATGTCCACTGGCTTCTCCTCTAACTGTGACCCCCTCACTCAGGTGCCCTGTGAGAATGTGATGGTTCGCTACCCTGTGCCCAGTGAGTGGGTGAAAAACTTCCGCAGGGAAAGTGTCCTGGGGGAAAAGTCTTTGAAAGCCAAAGTGAACCGGGGGGCCAGTTTTGGCTCAACTAGTGTGTCTGGCTCTGAGCCGGTCATGAGAGTAACTCTGGGAACTGCCAAGTATGAACATGCCTTCAACTCCATTGTATGGAGGATAAACCGACTGCCTGATAAAAACTCAGGTAGGTACAGATGTCTCGCCAGTGACAACCACCACACGGTTGCCAGTGAGCTGGGATCAGAGTTCCACATGCAATTATGATTCCCCTCTGAAGTGCTGAGTTTTCTTGTGTGATGGGAATGGTGATTGAGGGGGTGTGGGACCGGAAAAGCAAAAACGTTTGAGCGAAGTAAGTAATAAACATGGATGACCCAGTTCATGCCACCTTTTCACCCCCTTAACTATCACGTTTCTTCCATAAAATTATGTGTCATTCTCCTCAGCTGAGCTGCTAAGTGGCTTTCCAGGATAGCTTATGAATTTGTATTCCGTTCTGACCTACTAAAGTGTGATCTGTGGTGCTAGAAGCTATCCATTTTCAGATCCTAGAAGGCTTCTGAGTTCTGAAGAGACATCTTTTAAACTATGCCCTGGGTGTAGGTAAAATGGCCAGCTCATGGCGAATCATATATATAGAACAGGTGAGGAGCAGTTTTATAATTCCATCCACCCAGGCCTGTCAATCACAACGTCTTGAACTCAGAGTTGGAATTTGGGGATGGGGAAGAGGAGAAATGGCCTCTGATCATACTGAAGTCCTAGCCAGGATATGAAGTTCCAAAACATCTGAAATTCCATCAGACAAAAAGTAAAGGAAGGAATGTTTGATTTAAACTAAGAGAGAAAGCTTAACCAGCCCTAGCTGGCCTGCTCCCAGCTCTCAGGGGTGCTTTTGTGCTTGAGTGAGCCCAGAAGGCAATGACTTTCCTCATAGGTCCAGTGAGACTTAGTGAAATGCCTAAACTAGGGAGTAATCAAACCACCTTTAGTAGCCTTATTTATTATAGTGAGTCTGGGTGAGCCCAATGGCAGGCAATAAGCTCGTGATTGTGTGATCTTTTAAACCACTTCTCTTCTTGTTTAGAATAAACTTGGCTCATCTGTTAACAAAAGTGGATATCCTAGCTGAGCAAAAAGAATAAGGTTTGGCAAAACTCTCGATTGAAATTTCTTTCTGTTATGCAGATATTCTTCTTTCCATTCTTAATATTGAATCCTAGTAGCATGTTCAGAGCCTTCATTTCCTGTTCTGAGTGTGGAGAGGCTGTGTTATCATACTCTAAGTGTAACATGATGTGATGGCAAGAGGCAGCATGATCTGGTCAGCCCTGCAGGCGTTCCAGACAGTGGACACGCACCAGGCACTGTGTCAGACACTGGGTGTAGCGGTGCAAACTGGAGAGACAATTGGACCTCTGTGTCTCAGGCTGGATTTGCCACTCTCTATTTCTAAAATGACAGAATTTTTAAAACAAAGTCTTCCTATCTGTGCTTGCTAATTCATTTCCCCTGAAATAGCCTTGTATTCTCCTGGTGATAGCACCGTGATTCCTACCTTATCCACAAGGCCCATCTGACAGAGGAAAGGAAAAACCCTGAATTCTCCTTTGGCACAGAGCCCTTGGGAAGAGAACGGAGGTGACAGGGAGAAAATTACTATTTGACCTGCTCAACACTTGACATGGGAAAAGATATAGCCTCAGGTTTACATTTATTGGAATTTTTAGCTCCTGAGTATACTAAGCATGGATTCAGATAACTTATTGTAGAACTATTGGATTTTTGAAGCTAGAAGGGGCGTTTGGGGATAACTTACTCTAACCTCTTCATTCTATTATACACATGAGAAAATTAAGGACCAGGAAGTGACACGACTCATCTGAAGTTACACAGCCACATCGTTTTTGCAATACCACAGCTGCCTCTTAGTAGAGGACACCAAATACACACAAACATGAACTATGAGAACAGAGGTTTACCATTGTTGGTGGTACTCACGGTGCCCAGCCCCTGCTCCCCCCACCCAGTGCTCCATCCATGAAACCAGAGAATTGATGATGATCTGTGAGTAGTTATCTCTTTCCTGAGCTCTTCTGTCGTGATCATCAGACAGCCTTCTGAAGGTGCCTTTTACAGATTATTTCTCATAATCCTCACACCTGCATTGTGAAGGAGGCCCAGAACTCTGCACGCCTATTCCCACCTGCGATGGCCCTGCATCCCCAGCCCCCAGCAGGCAGGGCGGTCACACCACAGGCAGGATGGGCCAGCAGGTTTGCACCACTGGCTTGGCTGGCATTTCAAGCCTGCAGCCCCAGCTGTTTTGTCCTACTCCCAGCCACCAAAACACTAACGAGCCGCCATCGGGTTCCAGCAAGGCTCCCACCAGCAGGGCCCAGTCCAGCCGTGTGCATGTCTGGTCCCCATCTCTCTGTGCTCCACCAGGGCCCCACCCATCCTGGTCTCAAGAGTTTTTTTCTTTTTTTTTTTTTTTTTTTAAAGATTTTTTAAATTGGGGAATTGGGGAATGGGAACAGCGCTGGAGAATTGGGGGAGGGGAACAGACAAGTTGCTGTCGTTTTGTTCTTCAGTCTAGTTGTGGAGGACGTTGCTTCACTGGCCCAAGTTGGCACCATCATTGCGCTCTTCCCGGGCAAGGCAGATCAGTGACCGGCTTCTGGACAGCCGCTCACAGCAGCTGCTGGCTGCTCATGCTGGCTGCTGGCTACACACGGTAGCCCATGGCAACCCACTGCAGCAGGGGTTGCAGCCTACGCCGTTGCCGGCGACTCACGGCAACCCAGCTCCAGGTCGAGCTGTTGTTCAGCATCTTAGCTGTAGAGGGCAGTGTCACTGGCCCTCATATGTGGGATCCGAACCGGGGTCCTCTGGCGTCCCAAGCCAGCTCTTAACCAACGTGCTACTCGACTGGCCCTCGAGTTTTTCTTAATCCTAGAAGGCACCAGAACAAAACACCAGTCCTGCTGCTTTCCCAGGTCATCCGCCCCGAAACAAAACATTCTGTCCTGCATAGTTAGCTTTCTTTTATGGAAAATAGAAATCTGAAGTTTAATGTTAAGTTTTCTCAACTTCATCAAGGAAGATGATGTAATGCGTGGGTACATTAGCTCATTACCATAGATTAAACTCCTAACTTTCAAAATTGTACTTCTCTATCTGTCCACCAGCCCTACACATCCATTAGTTAATGCTGGGAATCAAGAAAGAATGTTGCTTTTTCACTATTCCATCAACATGTAAATAAGGGTAATTAGATAAAACTGTTGTTCACGTTCCTATCAAATTAAATTAAGAAACTCCTCTATATACTTTGTAGTGACCCAAATCTATAGCAGTACATTGAGAGGAGTTTAGGACATAATTTGGTATCAGTCAGATCTGAGTTTTATTCCCAGCACTACAATTTAATGGCTGTGTGACCTCAGGCAATTTCCTTAAACCTCTCAGAAATCTCATTTTCCTCATCTATAAAATAGGGTTATTAATACTCAGCTCATTAAGAATGAAATTAGACAATGCTCTTAAGTGTTTAGAAGTCTCTGGCCAGTAATAAATGCTCAATATATAATAGCTAGATAATTATATCTGTGGTACACGATTTTTAGAAAATTGAATGGATTCATTTTCAAATAATGTAATTTTTACTATTAATATTATATGTATCTTATTTAAATTCCTTTTCTAAAACCAGTGCAAAATTTTCAATTAATTTCCCAAACTATTACGCTTTGGAACCATTGAAATACCTCACATTTGTGAAACAGAGCAAAACAAATACTTCATTCTGTAATGTTTTCCTTGGAGAGAGGGTGTGTATGGCCTCATTCTCTGAGATTAAAAAGTCCTGCCCAGACCAATAAAGGAAATTGGAATTGTTTATTTGGGAAAACTCAGATAACTAAAGGCTGCTTCGGTTACATAATGAAATCAAAGCCATGTAATATTGTTTCTCCATAGCGAGTTGCCATATGGGGGTTCTTACAGCTGACTTTCTCTACAGACCTTGTCACTCTGCAAACCTGGTCTTAAGGCCTGGGAACTCAGACAAAGTGGTTAAAACAATTTAGAGTCAGACTGCTGGGTTCAGTTCTTAGCTCTGCCCCTTTCGAGTATAATGTAATGCTATGACCTCAAGAGATTGTTATGAAGAGGCAGTGAGAAAATCTGTATGAAGCATTTAGCACAGTAGCTGGTGCAGTGTGCTCAACAGATGGCTCCTACCTCAGATGAAGGACGACCACAGTGCTTCAACAGTGATCGTCCCAGAAATAAGCTCTAGCTCTTTTTCCTCAAAGATCTCAGAACTCTCAAATGAAAATCAAACCTGAAGTTTGCCATTCAAGTACAGTAGAAAGAGCTGTAGATTTATAAATTAAAGAACAAGAAGGGGCCATGCTTGGCATTGTCCAGGCCACCCTTTTCTAGCACCCTCCAGCTCCCCCACTTTACAGATGAGGGATTGAGGCCTGGAGAGCGTAAAGGACTTGGGTGTGGGATCTCTGCCACTTAGCAGGAGAGCTGAGAGGCAGGCCCAGGTATCCTGACTGTTCGTCTGTGTGCTCTCCAGTATACCCTATGCTTCCCGAATAAAACTGTGCTGTTTAGAAGGGCCTTGTCATTGACACATGCCATCACCCATAGCAACATGCCAAACACGTTTTTTAAAATATGAAATGCTATTAAGAAAATTCAATTCCTTTTTCAAAGGAAATCGATGATTTTGCTCCAGGTGGCTGTCACTTAGGTTTCAGTAGGTGCTAAGTGTTGGTCTCTTTTGTTCCTTTCTGTCAATCTATAGCCCCTATTTCTCAGTATTTATGCTGTGTTCCCATATCACTCAGACTGGAGCTGACAGAATAGCCTGTTTCTCAGGCCATGGGTTTGATTGCTAGAATACCAGGCCACTATAATCAGATAGTGTTACATCAAAGGGTCTCAGGCATGTATGGTGTGATTTCTGCTAAGGCAAGTCCTCTGCTCAGTGCTGGACCCCCTGAAAGACTTCCGAGCCTTGTTTGTTATTGAGGTGGCTCATCTTCCACTTCCTCCCCCAAAGAACCTGATCTCTAGATTCTTCATCTTTGTTTCATAGCTTCTGGTCACCCACACTGTTTCTTCTGCCACCTTGAACTTGGCTCTGACCGGGAAGTGCCTTCCAGATTTACCAGTCACGTGAACGTTGAGTTCAGCATGCCCACAACTTCTGCCTCCAAAGCTGCTGTAAGATCCATCTCCGTGGAAGACAAGACTGACGTCAGGAAGTGGGTCAATTATTCTGCACACTACAGCTACAAGGTAGCCTGTGGAGGCCTGGCTAACTTTTCCAAATCCATTGGTTCACCCCTGTACCCTCTCCCTTCTCATTCCGTTTAGCAGTGCCTGCCCTGGGTGCACGGTGTTCTCTTACCACCTTGGAGGAGGTTCACCATTGTACATAGCCTTGGATGAGTCTGCTCTGATTTAAATGAATACTCTCTCTAATGGGCAAGAGAAAGGTTGCAGGGAAACAAAAGAAAGCTGATGAAAGAGGAGAATATAATGTGTTTCAATCATCATGAACAGCAACAAAAAAAAAGAGTAATGGGGTGAAAGGATTATTACTACTCATTCATAATATAATCTATGTTGCAGAGTAATGAACTTGGAAGTGGAGGGGAGTGTCAGGAACGTGCTGCAGGAGCTGATGGAGTGGACCTGAGTACAGTTAGGACACCGATGACCTGGTCCCTGGGCTGTAACTGGACAAAACTCAAAAGCCAAACCAGCTTTCATAATAATAATGGGATCAGGGCTGTGCAAGGAGGAAACCAGATTGGAGTGTTCTGACATGAATAGTGATTATATCCTGAGGAGTTAGAAATTCAAAAGGAGATGAAATGCCAAAGATGGAAAATGGAGGTTATTGAAGAAGGATTTTGCGAAGTAGTTTAATAATTTTCTATTCATAATACTAGCCTTAGATTTATATGGTGATTTATTGTCCTTTAATTGCTTCCTTAGGTGTGTGATCTACCAAAAAGAACAAATCCTCCATCTTGTGGCCAAAAAAATAATAACACTTTCCTCAGATATGACCCCGATCGACTCTTCTGTTTTGACTCCCTTGTCATAAACATCCAAAGGGGTGTTGTGGGGAGCAGCTTTAATTATGACACTCCCTATCTAGAAGGGTTCCCTGCCTGACATATCAAAGGCTTCAGTTGAAGTGTGTCACTTTCAAGGCAAGATAAATTGATTAATCCTTTTATAATTACAGCTACAGTATTCTGCAGAAGATATAGGTAGAACTGTAACCACGGTAATACTTTTCAGTTTGGGGACTTTTTAAAGAGCGAATGGAATGGAGAGTGTCAACAACCAATGGCAAAGGAATTCATTCATTTGATAAACCTTGTGATTGCCTGCTGTATGCCTACATTATTGGGCTACCGTAGTGAATAGGGCTGGCCCCTGTCCTGTGGAGCCTGTGGTATAGTGTGCCAGGTACAGTGGGAATATGGATGGGAGGGAGGGGCATCTAATTCAACCTAACGAGTCAAGAGTAGCTTCATAGAAGAGGTAACTTTTGAGCTGCTGTGCAAGGCAAATAATAAGAACTTTCCAGGAGAGCTGTGAGGGAGAAGGAATTCGAGACCAAGCAAAGAGAATGAGCAAAGAAAAATCATACTCTATGTAGGGCCAGTGGCTCCAGGGTGGCTAAAGCCCAAACATTGACAAAGAACCTACACCTACTGAGCTATTCTCTTGGTTTATTGATTTCTTGAGATGCTTTTCTCTTCTTTCTGATATTTCTCTCCAACTTTTACCTTGGCAGGTGGAGATTGAGCAGAAAAAGAGTTTGAAGCCAGACTTTGAAGGAGATGAAATGGAGAATCCCAAGGAGTGTGGGGTCCAGTGATGAGGCCCCACCGCAGGGGCCCTGATCCGAGTTCCGATAGGATGTCTTCCTGAGGAGCTGAAGTTCACGTCAGTACCTGCCATGACTACTCCACATTGGGCAGAGTGTATTGGGCCTTCCTGTTTGTGGTCATCTATACCGCAACAGGAAACCCTGAGGTGGTCGCCTTGGAGAGGCTCTGATCATGCCTGAAGCACCTGGCTCACCTGACTTTTGGAGCTTGTTAATTAAGCTTCCTTCTCCCCTCTCTGCTTAGCTCACAGCACTTGGGTGTGGTTTGTTGTGATTCTGAGAGTCAGGAAAAGAGCCTCCCACATTGGTGTCGGCATGGTTCCCTTCTGATGTTCTTCTGTCACTTACATGAGTTTCTGGAAAACACGGTCTTGAGAAGTTAATTAATGAAGAATCCATCTCTGTCAATCCCTTTAGAAAAGGTTCAGAAAAGGTACAAAACAAATTTCTTCTCTGGGTCTACTAGTCCTTTCATAGGTGTTGCCATTCTTTAAATATTAACACTATGCAGGAGAAGTTGTTGAGGCATTTTCCTCTTGGTTCTAGACTGTTTTGATTGAAACACTTTTTCTTACTCTCTGAGGTTTCAGTCACAGGGTTCACCACTCTGAGTCACAATAGACAATAGAAAAAAGGCACGATAGGATACTTTTTAATTCTATGATGAGCCCCATATACTGCAAAGGGTGGCTATTGAAGGGAAAGCAAAAGTGATCTTATTTTTCTTCATTTTGGGGAAAAGAGACATTAGTGGTAAGATTATACTCAATTTAGGAGAGAGCTTCAATCTCAGTGAATTCCCGAATTCACACTGAAAAATATAGGCCATTTCTGATTCCTAAAACAAATGGATATATATATATATATATATATATATATAGACACAAATCCATAATGTGTATATATATATATATATATATATATATATGGAATGCCTCAGGCATCTGTCAGGGGCATTTGAGAGCTATTCTTATACCTCATAGCCGATTGACAGTGCGTGTCTCTTTAACTCAAACTTTATAGGAAGTGTATGCTGAAAAGATGATTTAAAGCTGTTTCAAAGCTAAGCTTATATGAGCTTTCCCCCAAAATTCAGAGTTTAATAATCACAGTATTGTAATCGAGCTATAAGGCAGAAGACTCTAGAGTAGAGATGTGGGAAAGCATGTTTTTCTGACGTTGGGAATGTTAACTCCTGATTCCAAGAGTCTGGGACACGCAGTCTTCTTTTCCTTCTTCCCTCCCTGCTTACGTTCTAGACCTCTACTGCTTATTTGTACTTTGGTGTTTTCTTACCAGACGAGGAACTACATCAGCCATCCCAAAGGGGACACCTGCTCAGTAATTTAGAGGCAGCTTCTATCTGGCTTTCCATTTCTCCATGAAAAATAGAATAGGGGGACAGAAAGCACACTTAGTAGATTTGTAGATGACACAGAAATATCAAGTCTATTGACTGGCATATTCAGGATTAGGGTATTCGATGAATATTCACTGAATTCTAACTATGTACTAACACTAGGATATAGAAATCATTACAGTTTTTTGAAATGCCTAAGCCTAAGACTGAAACTAAAAGGATGAAATTGAATAGGCATTAATGAGAAACAATGTTCTGAATGTTTTTTTTTTTAATGCAACCCTCTAAGTATAGAGTGGTATATGTATGTGTGTATTTGTGGATGTGTGTGTTTATGTGTGTGTGTGTGTGTGTGTGTGTGTGTGTGTGTGTGTGTGTGTGTGTGTGGGAAGGGTGGTGGAAAGTCCTAGTTTCACAGCAGTTCATGTAGAAATATTTTCTTAGGGACATAGAAGTTCAATTTTGAATCAGGAGTATATCGTGGCTATTCACAAAGGTAATACATTCAACCTGTGGTATTAGAAGTCCGGGGAGCCCTACATGTTGCATTGGTAAGTCCACATCTGGATGGAGGGTTGGGTTCAATTCTGGGTACCACGTTTGAAGAGAGACATTAATAAATTGACTGTGTCCAGAAGCAGGTGGCCAGAGTTGCAAAGGGTCTAATTAAATAAGGAACAGGGGAATAGATCCCGCACAGAAGGTATAGCTAGAAAGGAGTGCAGAAAAGGAGAGAATGATATGATAGCTGCATTGAACTTTCTGTTGAGCTATAAAAAGGGAGAGGAACTAGACTTATTCTGTATAGCTTCAAAGGGCAAACATAGGAACAAAGGGGACTTTTATACATGACAGATGTTTGCCTCAATATAAGAAAAAGTTTTCTAATAAGAGTTATTTTAAAGAGGGATGAACTCAAGAGGTAAAATTTCCTGTTGCTGACAATGCCCAAACAAAGGTTAAAATAACCACCTATTCCAGATGCTGTAAAAAGGACTCTTACAATGGATTTGGGCTGATGACTGCCAAGATCCCTTCAACATATAGGTTTAGTCTCAGTAGTACTAGTACTCTCTAACTGTAGTTGTTTTTTTCTTTGATAAGTGGTTTTTCATGCTCTTTGAAATACAGTGAGGTCCCCCAAAGATCTTTGTCAAGTGAGGACTCCAAGGCATAGCCCTTCCCCTGCTGTACTAAAGGCATATGAGACTCCTCATTGAAACATCGAGATGAGTTGATGAGTTGACAAGGTGAAGGTCATTCTGGTACCTTTCTTACTGAAGGTTAGCATCTGGACACCCTCTCAAGATCTCTGCCTCACCTGCTAGCATCATGTGTACTGCTTCTTGGAGACCCTCCTACACACCCGCTCTGCTGGGCCCCAGCCTGGCCCCCGCTGGCCCCCTACCCATCTCCCACCCCTGCACCTGGCCTTGGTTAACTCTCATTGTCTTCATGCTTTCACCTGGACCTGTTTTAAAAAACAAACAAAAAACCCCAAGGGTTTGGAATACCCCTTTTGTGCTGACTATACATTCAGCAAGCAAATTATTATTAATCTTGAAAAACTTACCACCTTGATTGCATCAAATTTGTTTTCCTTCTACTGCCTCTGAGAAACTGATTATGAGTAGCATTTAGGGGTTGCAGAATGTAAAACTATATATTTTCAGACCTAGTGTTTTACTAATAGCCTACCTACCAAACACAGTTGGGCAAATTACCTTTTTCATGTGCAGATTCTAAGTCTGTCACCTGGACCTGGATTTTGTGTGTGTGGTCACAAATAACCCTTGCTTATCTTATCAATAATGTGAAATATTAAAAGTGAATTCATTTTACCAACGCATAGTATTTCTATTAGAACATTAATTAGAAGCCACATATGAAGAGTTGTGCTTTCTTCTGAACCTAGTGGCTTGCTTTGTGACTTTGTGGAGCAAGGATAAGAAAAGTACTCATCACGGTATGTCAAACAAGAGAATACCAGGTATTTTGTGGGGGCCATTAAACCCCCTTTCCCACTCTTGTAAACATTTTGCATTTCACTTATATTATCTGGACAGTGTTTTTTGTTTGTTTGTTTTTTTCTTTTTGGTTCTATCCACCTTCTCTACCTTCCTGCATTATTGGCAGGGCTCATAACCCTTGAGAACATTTTTCTATGTAATGTGGGTTTTTTTTTTGAAATGAGAGTAGTTTCTATATAAATCCAGTGAGTGGGTGAGGGCAGGAGTTTATTTCCCTAGAAATTCACATTCCCAAGAAATGTGATCCATGAAAGCAAGGAATGTATCTTATTTTTTGTTTCCAGTACTTAGCAAAAAGCTTCAAATATAATAGGTTCAGCTACCTTAAATCCTTGCTGGTGAGACAAACACATGTTAATGAAATAAAGGGAAATTACTACGTATTCAATAAATGTGTTTGCCCAATGAATATTGACCCTGAGATTCTAAGACTATTTAACTCTTACTTATCTTCAAATACTTATATTAAAGCAAGCAAGCATGCTTTTATTTCCTGGAAGACTTAAATGATAAGTCTCTTCTTTTATTCCTGCCTCCATTGTCAACTAATGATCATTGTCAGCATTTAAGCACTTAATGTGCAGCTGAATTTAAACTATAATGTACATTATTCATGTTGAAAAACATTGTTATGCTCAAAGATACAGCAGCGCAGATGCAGTCCATAGTCAAGATTACTGGTTCAGTTTTGTTCCTGCGAGTCAGACAGATCTGTGAGCCTGAGCCTTGCCCATTGGGGTGTTCAGTGGGAGAGGAAAGCATTTGGTGGAGAGCACAGCCAGTCTTGGTGTGCTAGGTGTTTGTTTTCCCCTACATTAACCCGCTGACCAATGTTACTGTGTATTTCTTTTGTCACCGTAGTTAAGATGGAGGTCTGAGATAAGGCTAAAGCTCGTAAAATGAAATTATGATTTCAGAGCTGCTTTAAGTCACATAATAAGTTTAGTGGTGGGAAGGCAGAGAATGATCTAAATTTTTTTTCTTAAAAGGCTTGGGAATATTAAATTGGTTTGAGTAGGAAGCACTGCCATCTAGCCTACTTTTAGAAATTCTCCCCATTGGGAATGGTAACCTTAGCTGTTCTACAAAGGATGATGATAAGTTAATCCTAGCATATCTACAGTTTAGGTTATGTTAAGAATGCAATTTAAGAGAAAATTGAACCAAAACTGACCAAAAAAATATATTGAATCCACAGAAAATATCATCTAGGAAAGAAATCATCTCTAACATTTCACTACCAAGTCCTATCTAAACCATGACAGCTCTGTATAAAATTAGTCATGGCATTCTCACCAAGTTCTAACGATGTTTTCTAGACATTACCATAATGTCTAGGCATCAGCTCCCTACAATTCGCCATTTCTTCACCATGTATTAATGATGTCTTTGTAAATGAAACTTGCTTTGGACATTCTGACGCATATTTATGGATTTAAGAAGTTAAAAGTGAACAAGATGTAGAAGGCAGTCATAAATGTAGAAAATAAATGTGAGTATCAGTAACACTTTCCTATGTGTTAACTAAAGCAGGAATATGGAATTTCTACTTCTAGTGTGTCTTAGCAATTCTAATGGAGCGTCCAGTCCTCTGCTTTTGTTTTAAAAGTTGAAGGGGGAAATAAAAAATGTATCTCTGAACTTGCAATTCCAGAGGTGTAAAGAAACTTCATAGTAATATGCTTGGCAGTGCCTGGAGAGAAGGAGATAGCGATTGTATGTAATGAAAAGCTAGGAAAGAACAGACTCAAAAAATAGAATTTCAGTATGAAAAAATATTCATATTGAATACAAATGAGATTATAGGGAGATGACAAATACAGCACTAGCCATCAAACCTCAAAATGCTTGAACTAGAGGCCATCCCTTAAAAGTAAGGAGCTCTAGGAAAAATGAAAGATTGCATAGCAGAGATAAGCAATGGAATTCAACAAGTATTTATATCAAGTGTCTGCTCTGGTCAAGGTGCTGCGCTAGCAGCCAGATTCTCTGAGGGGGGCTAAGAGCAAACATAAGGACACTGGGGGTTGTTGGTATAAGATTGGGGTTTCTATGAATCTTTACAGGACATAACCATAGAGACAATCACCAACTGGGCTTCAGTGACTTCCACTAAAAAAATGAGGAAGTTGCACTGATTGTTCCCTCAGGTCCTTTCCGGTTTTATGGATCATTTTATGAAATACCCTTTGTTGCCATTGTCAGTGATATCTTATTATGTCAGCATGACTCTTCATATAGTCTTATGTACCAAGAAATTTAAAATTTGAAAATTGGGAAAATCAACTGGCCCATCTTTTCCTTTTCATGTCTCTATTCTTTACCAGTCTGCCCAGACAACAGAAAAACCCTGCAATCCTCTATTTTGTAGTTGCCTTCAAAACATTGATAAACATGGAGGAGCAAAAGATGGTGAAGGTCAATTGGGACACTGCTCCGGAAATTCCACTGTCATCACCTAGCACATCAGTGGTGTGAGTGTGAAGAAGGGCAGACGGGTCCCCAAAATGGATGTTGGATTTGGGTTCTAGTTAAAGTGGAAGTAGTGTTAACATTTCCCGGGAACTGAAGAGCCACTCTGGGATGATAAATGATTTACAGATATGTCCTTTGATACAAAAGACTGCAGAAATTGAGGGAGGAAAAAAAAATAACTGAGTAAACATGCTGTTTACTTAGTGTCACTCTGGTGCATTTAGCATCCTGGGGCTATTGCTATTCAGCTAAATGAGAGAAAGGGTCTGCCTCCCTCTCCTCACTGTCTCTTAGCAAATAAAAATGTAGTTTAAAATTTTTTTAAAACACATACAAAAGAGCATCTCTTTTGCGGTGTCAGTATGATTATATTTTCTTATACTTAAAGTTGGTCAAATGTGTTGGCTCAATTCCAACTGGACAGAGCAAGAAATTCCAGCATCCTCTGCCTCGGATCAAACTCTCAATGCTGGTCATGGTAGCCACACTGTGACTGAGGCCTCAAGGACCACATGCTTCACGACCAGCGTCCCCACGTGGTAGCCAATGGGAGCAGTTCTGGGGGAGCAGACGTGCAGATCCCGACAGCAACCTGTTGGACCAAAGCGTTTAAGGGTTTTCAAGTATGGGGGTGACAGAGAGGAAGAATATGAACTCTAACCCTAAGCCAGCATTCATTTAACCTTTTTGTCCGACTGCCAACAGAATCTCGAGAACACTTTACCATGTTGAAAAATTAAACAGAATCAGTGTTTTAGCCAGGAAGTGATAAAAGAGTACCCCTCCTCACCCTCCATTTTTGTAATTTCCATAGTGAATTTCAGTGTGTC